GAATGAAACTATAGTGTTATCTCTAATTGATTTATTTAATTATTTTACCTTTGTCTATGTTAATTTGTTTCTCTTTAATACTTAGGAGTTAGGAGACATGAATCACTCAATGATATTTTGAAGTGTTTGTAGAGATACAACTCTGTAAAGTCTAAACTTGATCAATTGACCATGATTGATCCACGAAAGCAATTTTCTGATACGACATTTACGAAGATTGTGCGAAATATAATAGCGATATAGCAGCGACAACATATTGGCAAACAATAACTATGAACTCAAAATCACTAATCTAATACGGCTCACAATTATTGCAGTAAACAAAGTAAATTACGAGAAGTTGCACAACAATGGAGTTAATGAAATCTTATTTAAATTGGGTGAGCGGGTTAAATTATCTTAAATAGGTGACAATATTTAAATTGGAAGAAAAAGAAATCCACATAGGCGCCATGTAGGAAAACAAAAGTGGGACATGGCGATCTAACGGATGAGGGACAAATATGATCCTAGAGTATAACGATAAGGATAAATATATCAAAAAAAATATAACGAATGGCAAATATAACCTTTTTTAAAGAGTACATAGGTAAATATGACCCATAACCGATTAAAGAAATTCCAATTATGACATAGTTAAATATTTTGTCGTTTTTTTTTCCTTTTTGTGATGAGAAATTAAAGGAGGAGAGTTGCATGCAAGAACAAACAATTAGCAATAATCAAGACTAAAATTGAATTCAAGGGTAAAAGGATCTAGGGCTATTGATTTTCCCAATTGCCGGATTAATTCTGAACTCTTTAGCTATAATTTTGGCATAATACTCTATGAGGATTATGAGTTCTGGGCTACCGTAATTATCTCTAGATTAATTACGATAATTTACTATAAGCATTCTCTCGAACTACTCTAGTTAATAATTTATGCAACTCAGAATTATCCCACCAAAGCTTCGTTATTTCTAAATCCACTTTTAAATTCAAGTAATTAATCTCTTAACTTACCCAAAAGTGGTTTGTTCAACAACAATCTAACCAAGTATTCTTTCTCAAGCAACACAAGGTAACTAGACACGATTAATCGAGGGCCCTTTCAATTAACCACAATACAATACGTAATTGAACAATCATAGAACAAACACGGCTCAATTATGATAAAATAAAGTCAAGACTTCATCCAACAATTGGTTCCATCAACCTTAGATAATAGATTTAGCTACTCATATTAATGGAAAATAAATTACTAAAATAATTCATAATCAACAAATAGAAGTATGAAGAAAAAGATAAAAACTCTTAGGAAATTATCCGTCTTCTCTCCCTTATTCTTGCCTCTAAAATCTTCTAAAACTAGCTATATCTGACTTCTGGGCGAGTTTAGGCTTCATATAGGTTTAGGTTAGTCGCATAGAAAATTTACATAATTAACCATGCGTGTTTGACTTTCGTCCACCCGTCCGCGGCCGCGGATCCGGACGCGAATTTCCACTGCCTCACTGCCTTGAGTTCGCGGGGCTATTCGCGGCCCACTTAGCGGCCGTGCACCTGTAGGGGTCGTCTCGCTTGCTTTTATCGCTCCTTTTCGACCGGGCTAACCTTCGATTGGCCTTCCACACCCCATGTTAACTCTAAAACACTCGTTAGCTCCCTCCTAGCTCGGAGTAGCTCCTGCAAAGCATCAAATTCTTAATTAGAGCATTTAGTTATCTTTTAGCATTCAAATATCAATAAGGTGCGGCTAAATTAGAGTATAAATAGTGTCTAAATTGCATAAATATAGCCTACTATCAACACCCTACACTTAAACCATTGCTCGTCCCTGAGCAATCAAACCACACTCTAAGAGGCTTAACTTCACTGAGCGACTTCCATACTCGTCACACCAAGAATATTTCACATAAATTGAGGACATTAATGCAACATCCACACCTTAAGAGTTGACTCCCTCTAGACACGTAATGTTCCTAACCGACTTACTTACTCTAATTCATATGTCCAGACTTACCTCTACTTCATGAATCAAGTGTCTGCTCACAACAAAAGAGACTCATTTCACAATCAGTAAAATTCATACGCACTAAGGAACTTTAAAAGGAACAGAATTCACTCACACTCAGAAATGACATTCTTGTGTCACAGAAAATGTACCATAGGCTTGCTCGTAGTATACGACTCTACTAATTGAGCTCACTCGGTCTAGGATCAAGTAGGACTTTATTTGGATGTAATGTAGACTGCAGGTTGGGTAGGATATATTTAGATATAATAGTGACTACACCTCCCTAAGCACTTTAATACATTTATTTTACAATCAAGTCCACACCTAAGTTAAACCAATATTTTCATCTTTAACACCACATATACCACCCCCACACTTCTTCTTTTAGCACAATCACCTTAAAATCCACCAAAGAACTATTACCAATCAACATGATATACTATTAATAATGTTCTTCTTTTTTTCTCTTTTTTTTTCACAAGTGGCTTTTTCCAACAAGATATACCTTTCTCCTTATTTCCCTAGTTTCACTCAAAAGCTCCACCAACTACCCCACACTTTATCCTTTGTAAATTCATAGTATTTCAAGTGCTTACGAGAGGTAAAGGGTTCAAAAAGATGGTCAATTCAAACAAGGGATAGGGCTTGTAATGTGGTTGCCAAGGAAACAGGATTACAGGCTCAACGGGGTTAACTATGGTACATAGCAAATAGGTGGATGGAGTATGTATATCTATGGTTCAACAAAGAAATGCCTATATCACTTCCCAGACTAAACAAGACTACCATTTCGCTTTGCAGACATATGGGACAAGTTCTAGGCGTTAAATGTTGTGCACAGAATATAACAAGCCTCACACACACATGGCACATGACTCATTCCAGATTAGATCATCAAACACTCAGATCAGGGTACTTAAGCCAAATTAAGAACATACATTTTAAGGCCTTCTTATAAGAGTCAACAAATGAGCCTAAGCGTCACACTAAAGTAACCGCTATATTCAAGGCATTACGAAATTACAGGATCCTATTCTAATTCTGCCCATAGCCCATAAGTTCCTAACTAAAAATAAAAATCTAACTACACCTGGTTCAAACAAAACCCTTGGAAAAGAACCGTGGTTTAAAGAAAAACCAAGGGGGAATTGATACACTACTACAAAAGAAAATCTTTTTGCTTTTTTTTTCTTTCGACTTTAGTCCCTCAAGAAACCCGTGGAATGATATCCATCATCAGGCCAAGTCAAAATGGATTTATACAAATAAACTACGAAACTATATAGATACAACATACAACAAAGTATCCCCCACCCCACACTTAAAAATATGGCATGTCCCCATGTCATACAAAGTAAAGTAATGTGAGGTAAAGGAACTTCCCTATTGGATCAGTCTTGATCGGAGACAGTGCCAGGGTCGAGATGATATGCTCTCCCCAGCACACGCAGCCAGCCCATGATTTTCTTTTCTGACTTCGCATTTTGGGTGGCCAAAGCATCAACTCTAGTCCCCAATTTCGTGACGGGAGTGCGCAGTCCTGCCATGTCTTGTTCTAGGGCTGTCATTTGCGGGCTCCGTCTGCCCTGGGATGGTCCATCAGCCACTGCAGCTTGTTCCTGTAGGGGTGAGGTAAGTTCAACCTCCTCCTGCCCTTCATCTCCCTCTTCCGACGCATTAGAATCGTCACTATGAGTTGCCCCTGGTGCCATCGGGTCTTTCCGGATGGTCACTTTGTCTGCCCGTAACTTTGCTTCTTTCTTTACCATGCCATCCGCATTTGGGTTCTCAGGCACCCTTGATGCCCGGCATAATCTAGTGATCAGAGAGGGGAAAAAGAACCTATACCTCTTCTGTGTTGAACGGACGAACATCTCAGACTGAATAACCTTGGCCACATCAAAGTCGTGGCCATTCACGAAGCACCAAATCAAGGTAGCTCTCGGACCATTTACTTCTGTAGTGTTGTGGGATGGCAGCAAGCGATTATTGATGATGTACAACCAGCACTTTCCTTCAAAAGTGAGTGAGGCATAGTGTATCTTCGATCCCGGCACAACCCACACTACCTCTTTATCTGGTGCACAGATAGTTCTGAAAAACCTGTTCCATGTGATGCGTTCTCTCCTGTAACTATCATAGAAATCCTCCTCCCCACTTAATTCAGGCAATCGATACACTCTCCTGATGGCTTCTATCGAGGCATCCACCCTCGTGTGTCGTACAGTGCATATTCTATCCTCATGTTCAAGATAGTTGGCATAGAACTCCCGAACAAGCATCAAGTTACCCTCCTCCGTCTCTTCAAAAAAGCTGTCCAATCCGTGCCTGATCAACTCCCGATACATATTAGGGCACTCATCCTGGAGGGACGCCCTGTCAATACCCCTTTCCGGTACAGGTGTTTTAGTGGCCTTCAAACTGAAATGGTCTTGGGCAGATCTGGAGACAAACCTGGTATGATCAAACTGAGCTGCACTAGCCGGTGCCCGTCCCCGAGATGAGCCTCCATGACCACTTGATGAGGCCCCGGTAGCGCGTCTCTTCCTTGAAGGTTGCGTGTTACCTGGACACACCCCAAATATGCTCCCCAATCTGCGGTCCAATCCACGGTCATGGATTCTGGGCAGAATGGGGCCAAAAATCCGCGGCTGCGGATGGGGGACACAACACAGGCCAAAATCTGTGGCCATATCCGCGGTCCAATCCGCGGCCGTGGATCTCTATCTCCAACCAATTTTTGTCTTTGCCATATTTTTACCTATTCTCAGGTTAATTTCGACCCCTGAATCCTTCCGATGCACATAATATTTGCCCTGCACACTAGTAGATTGGTCAAATTCATTCAAAATCAATTATAACAACCAAAGAAAGAAGATAATGGGTTGCCTCCCAAAGAGCGCCTAAGTTAATGTCGCGGCACGACGATTTACAATAAACCATGGGTTGCCTCCCAGGAAGCGCCTGATTTAATGTCGCGGCATGACGCTGGCTTTCATTATCACTCCTCGCTCACGTACTGGGGCTCTTCATAAGTTATCACCACTCTATCCCCTTTCTCTTCGACCATTCCAAGGTAATATTTCAACCTTTGCCCATTTACCGTGAACTTGTTTGTCCGATATTCGGATTCAATCTCTACAGCACCACTTGGGAACACTTGCACCACTCTGAAGGGTCCTGACCATCGGGACTTCGACTTACCCGGAAACAATCTCAATCTCAAGTTATATAACAACACTAGATCTCCGGGCTTGAAGTTCCGATCTAAGATGTGCTTATCATGGATCATTTTCATCTTTTCTTTGTATAATCTAGCATTCTCAAATACATGGAACCTGAATTCCTCGAGCTCATGTAACTCAGTGACTCTGCTGGTGCCTGCGATCTCTATATCCAGATTCAACTATCGCAGTGCCTAAAGTGCTTTATGTTCGAGCTCTACCGGAAGGTGGCATGCCTTTCCAAACACCAACTTGTACGGTGACATACCATTTGGAGTTTTGAATGTTGTGCGGTACGCCCATAATGTATCATCCAGCTTCTGCGCCCAATCAGTCCTTGTTGCACTGTCTTTGTCAGGACACTTTTAATTTCTTTATTGGACACTTCAACTTGCCCGCTCGTCTGTGGGTGGTACGATGTGGCTACTTTGTGGCGAACTCCATACTTTTCCAACAGATGTGCGAATGCTCTATTGCAAAAATGGGTTCCACCATCACTGATTATGGCTCTCGGGGTGCCAAAACGTGTGAAGATGTTTTTCTTTTGGAAACTTGTTACCCCTTTTGCATCATTGGCTGGGAGAGCTACCGCTTCGACCCACTTGGAGACATAGTCAACCGCTACCAATATATATTTGTAACCATACGAGCTGACGAACGGCCCCATAAAGTCGATCCCCCATATGTCAAAAACCTCTACCTCTTGAATTGTGGTCATTGGCATCTCGTGACGGAGAGATTTGTTGCCTGTCCTTTGGCATTCATCGCAACTTTTGACCCAAGCATGGGCATCCTTGAACAGGGTAGGCCAATACAATCTCGATTCCAACACTTTTGCTGCTATCTGGATTCCTCCAAAGTGTCCACCATATGGTGAAGCATGGTAAGCCTGCAAAACAGAAGGTTGATCTTTCTCGGGGATACACCTCCGGATCATGTTATCTACACATATTTTAAACAATAGAGGTTCATCCCAATAAAAGGCTCGACAATCACGGAAGAACATTTTCTTTTGAATTGAGGAGAGTTCATAAGGTACAATACTACTTGCTAAATAGTTAGCAATATCAGCATACCATGGCGTCTCCTCCATTGTCACATCAAGTAATTGTTCATCCGGGAATGTCTCTGTTATGTCTTCAACCTCCATTCTCTTTTCATCTCCTTCCAATCTTGAGAGGTGGTCTGCCACTTGATTGTCCGTCCCCTTTCTGTCACGGATTTCCAGATCAAATTCTTGTAGCAAAAGAACCCAGTGAATCAAGCGTGGCTTTGACTCCTTCCTTGCTATCAAGTACCTAATTGCTGCATGGTCAGTATAAATAATAACTTTTGAACCAATTAAGTACGACCTGAATTTGTTGAAGGCAAACACTACATCCAACATTTCCTTTTCGCTGCCCCAAGACTGCTCCTATAGCATAATCACTAGTGTCGCACATGAGCTCGAATGGTTGCTCCCAGTTGGGTGTAACAATGATGGGTGCAGTTATCAGTCTCTTCTTCAGATCCTCAAATGCCAACCTGCAATCATTAGAAAACACAAAGGGCTGATCCTTTTCAAGAAGTTTACATAAAGGGTTAGCAATCTTGGAAAAATCTTTTATGAATCGCCTGTAGAACCCGGCGTGCCCAAGGAAACTTCTCGCTGCCTTGACCGAAGTGGGCGGTGGCAATTTCTCAATCACATCAACCTTAGCATGGTCGACCTCAATTCCCTTACTGGACACTCGATGCCCCAAAACTATTCCTTCTTGTACCATAAAATGGCACTTTTCCCAATTCAGCACCAAATTTGTCTCCACACATCTTTTGAGCACTCTTCTTAAATTGTGAAGACAATCTTCGAATGAATCCCCCATCACGGAGAAATCATCCATAAACACCTCCATAGTATCCTCTACCATGTCAGTGAAAATGGCTAACATGCACCGCTAGAATGTAGCCGGTGCATTGCAAAGTCCAAAGGGCATTCTTCGAAACGCAAAGATTCCATATGGACAAGTGAAGGATGTTTTCTCTCTGTCTTCCGGGGCTATTGAGATCTGGTTATACCCCGAGTATCCATCCAAGAAACAGAAGTGGGACCGCCCAGCTAACCTGTCCAACATTTGGTCAATAAAAGGCAACGGGAAATGGTCCTTTCGAGTGGCTGTATTCAGTTTCCGATAGTCCATGCAAATCCCCCACCCCGTGACTGTACGAGTCGAGATCAACTCGTTATTCTCATTTTGTACGACTGTCATTCCTCCCTTTTTCAGCACACATTGGACAGGACTGACCCAGTTGCTGTTAGAGATGGGAAAGATGATACCCGCATCCAGCCACTTGATAACTTCTTTCTTTACTACTTCCTTCATATTCGGGTTCAGCCGTCGTTGATGTTCCCTGGAAGGTTTGTGCCCCTCTTCCAGAAGAATCTTGTGCATGCAAACGGCTGGGCTAATACCCTTTATGTCTGCCATGGTCCAACCAATGGTAGTCTTACATTCTTGTAACAGTTTCTCTAAATGCACAACTAGCAAACCAGATGATATAATAACATGCAAAATAGAATTAGGCCCCAAGAAAGCGTACCTGAGGTGGGCTGGAAGCGGTTTCAAGTCCAGCTGTGGTGGCTCCTCTATTGATGGTTTTGCAGGTGGTGTTGCTCTCTCTTTTAAGCGTAGGGGCTCGAACTGAGGTTCTCTTTTCCAGAATCCTTGACCTTTGAGAGCCATGACCCACTCTGCCAACCCTTCACCATACATCTCTACCAAATTCATCAAGCAGGCTTCTAGTGGATCCTTGACATTAAGGGTCTCATCCTCTTCTTGCAGTATCACATCCACGGCCTCCACTAGTGAGCAGTTTGCAAATTCACTGGGTCTCCTCATGGATTGTTGAACGTTGAATATTATTTCTTCATTGTTCAACCTCATTTTCAACTCTCCAGTCTCGCAATCAATTAGTGCTCTCCCAGTGGCTAAGAATGGCCTTCCCAGAATGATGGGTATATCTTCATTCACCTGATAGTCAAGAATAACAAAGTCTGCAGGAATTACAAATTTCCCCACTTGCACAAGCACATCATCAAGAATTCATGTTGGTCTTTTGACTGTGCGATTAACCAGTTGCAACAATATTGAGGTCGGTCTAGCTCTGCCAATGCCCAGTTTTGTATAGATTGCCAAGAGCATCAAGTTTATGTTGGCTCCCAAGTCACACAATACTTTAGCAAAAGCATAACTCCCAATAGTACATGGGATAGTGAAGCTACCTAGATCAGACACCTTTTGGGCCATAGGTCTTGTCACTACCGCGCTACAGGTCTGTGTCAGAGTTACAGTGGACAGGTCCTGAAAGTCAAATTTTTGCGACATCAGGTCCTTCATCATTTTTGCATACCCTGGCATTTCCCTCAAAGCATCCATCAGTGGAATATTCAATTGAATCTGTCGAAGCATTTCCATGAATTTCCTGTATTGATCATCTTTCTTTTGTTTTGCCAATCTCTGAGGGAATGGTGTAGGAGTCAACATCTGTCCACTATTTGATGTATTTTCTTTGTTGGAAGCTTCTGGCACAAGAGGTGCCACCTGTTCTGAGACTTGTTCACCGTCTTTCTCCTTATCCTTGTCAACCTGTGCTTGTTCAATTACAACCTCGGTGAGCTCTGCTGACTCATCTACCTCTAATGTAACTGGAGTAGTTGGCGTAGTCTCTCTCCTATGAGCAACTTCTTGCTCTCTGTCTAAATCTCTTCCATTCCTAAGACTCACTGCCATTAGTTGATTTGGGTTCTGTTCCTTTGGGTTAATATTTGTATCTGCATGCAATGTTCCTTGTGGGCGATTGTTCAAGGCCATAGATAGTTGTCCCAATTAAATTTCAATGCCTTTGATTGCTGAATCATGTGCTGCTAACTTTTCTTGCATCTTACCATTTGTTCCAATGAGTTGTTGCAGCATACCCCTGATTTCTACCGTGTTGTTGTCCTGTTGTTGATGAGGTGGTTGGTAGGCCAACTGTTGGTGGTGGTGCTGCTGCTGATTATAGCCCTGCTGCCTTTGATAATGCATAACTTGACCTTGTGGTCGTGCGCCTCTAGAATTGGGGTTGTGTTGTGGCAGGTTGGGTCTATACTGCTGGTTTGGTGCTGGTCCCCATTGTTGCCCACCTTGCCTCTGACCTCCAAAATTATTGACATAATTCATGTCTTCTCTGAATCCTTAGTTGTCATTCTCTCCACTCCACGAGCACACATATGATTGGTTTATGCAAGGAGTGCACAATCCTCCATTTGTTGTATCAACAATGTGCACTTTCTTTGTACCTATCTCATCAATTTTCTTTGTCAGTATGCTCATCTCAGTCATGAGAGTGGCTATGTTCTCTGCATGGGAATTGTTTGGGTCAAGAGCAACATAATGCTGCGCTCTGTGAATGTCTTGCTCAAAAATGCACAAACAGATGAAGCATCTGCATTGGCCTTCAAACTGTCTGCTAAACCCATGTAGAATCTCTGTCCCAGCATCTGATCTGGAATGCTATGGTGTGGGCACTTCACTAGCATACCCTTGAACCTCTCCCAGGTTTCTTGCAAGGTCTCAGTTGGTTTCTGCCTGAACTGCAATATCTCATCAATCTGCCTTGCAGTCTTATTGGGAGGATAAAACTTGTTTAAGAACTGTTTGACTAATTCTTCCCAAGTGGCAATGGAATTTATTGGGAGCGAATTCAACCAAGTTTGAGCCTCTCCAGTCACAGAGAATGGAAACAGTAATAGTTTGATGGCTTCAGGAGTCACATTCGATTGTCTTTAGGTCACACATATTGATAGGAAATTCTTCAGATGTTGTTATGGGTCTTCAATGTATGACCCGGAGAACAGTCCCTTATTTTGAAACAGATGCAGCATGTTGTTGGTGATTTGGAATGTCTCCGCTTGTATCTGAGGTACAACAATGTCGGTGGCTAGGTTATCAGCAGTTGATTTTGCCCAATCATAAAGAGCAGCTTCTGGCACAAGAGGTGCCACCACTCCATTGTTCGGGTCAACCCGATTATTCCGATTGTTTTCATTGACATCGTCCATGTTGTCCAATTCAATTTCGAGTGTGTGTTTTTGTTGTAACTGTTTGTTCTTCTTGTTGGCTCGATTTAATGCCCTAAATGCTTTCTCGGGGTCTGAGAGTCCTTCAAAATGTTCACCAGTCCTCGAAGAGCTTCTAGGCATACACCTGAGTCACAGGAAAATTCAAACGTGAGAATTTCAATGGAAAAGTTTAAACACCGTAAGAAATTGATCTAAACTAAGAATCCTAGCAATTCTTCTAAGTTATAATAAATAACACCGTTAGTTCCCTGGCAACGATGCCAAAATTTGATCCCACCCAACTATGCCTTGTAAAAAGGATTAAGTAGTCGCTGTAAATATAACCCGGTTCAAGTCCGGAGTCGAATCCCACAGGGAACTAACCTATTTACTACAACTTTAAATAATGCTAATGATAAGATCAGACAACTTTCGGATACAAGAGTTTTATGAATAATCAGTGAAATTTATTTAGCTAAGAAAAAATGACAATAAAATTAGCAATAATCAAGACTAAAATTGAATTCAAGGGTAAAAGGATCTAGGGCTATTGATTTTTCCAATTGCCAAATTAATTCTGAACTCTTTAGCTATAATTTTGGCATAATACTCTATGTGGATTATGAGTTCCGGGCTACCGTAATTATCTCTAGATTAATTACGATAATTTACTAGAAGCATTCTCTCGAACTACTCTAGTTAACAATTTATGCAACTCAGAATTATCCCAACAAAGCTTCGTTATTTCTAAATCCACTTTTAAATTCAAGTAATTAATCTCTTAACTTACCCAAAAATGGTGTTGTTCAACAACAATCTAACCAAGTGTTCTTTCTCAAGCAACACAAGGTAACTAGACATGATTAATCGAGGGCCCTTTCAGCTAACCACAATACAATACGTAATTGAACAATCATAGAACAAATACGGCTCAATTATGACAAAATAGAGTCAAGACTTCATCCAACAATTGGTTCCATCAACCCTAGATAATAGATTTAGCTACTCATGTTAATGAAAAATAAATCACTAAAATAATTTATAATCAACAAATAGAAGTATGAAGAAGAAGAAGATGAAAACTCTTAGGAAATTATCCATCTTCTCTCCCTTGTTCTTGCCTCTAAAATCTTCTAAAACCAGCTATATCTGACTTCTGGGCGAGTTTAGGCTTCATATAGGTTTAGGTTAGTCGCATAGGAAATTTACATAATTAACCCTGCGTGTTTAACTTTCGTCCGCCCGTCCGCGGCTGCGGATTCGACCGCGGATCCGGCCGCGGATTTCCACTGCCTCACTGCCTTGAGTTCGCGGGCCAATTCGCGGCCCACTTCGCGGCCGCGTACCTGGAGGGGTCGTCTCGCTTGCTTTTCTCGCTCCTTTTTGACCGGGCTAACCTTCGATTGGCCTTCCACACTCCATATTGACTCCAAAATACTCGTTAGCTCCCTCCTAGCTCGGAGTAACTCTTGCAAAGCATCAAATTCTTAATTAGAGTATTTTGTTATCTTTTAGCATTCAAATATCAATAAAGTGCGGCTAAATTAGAGTGTAAATAGTATCTAAATTACATAAATATAGCATACTATCAGTTTCCATCTAAATGTTCCACGTGCCATATTTGTCTCATGCAACATTTTAGGATCTGTCTCTACTGATCAATGGTTTCTTTTTGGCGTTTGAAAAAGAAAAAATTAGAAGTTGAAACAACTAGCTATTACCTAACTTAAGCCTACTGATGAATTAATTACATCAAATCTAACTCCTATGAGTTGTCTTAATTAAGATCTTGTGCTCGTGATTCCAGATTCAATGTTGAAGTTCAAGCATAAAATAAGATAGTTGTAGAAAACAGAGATTAAAGTGCGAGCGAAAATCGCCATTGATATGGCGGTCGAAGCTTCGCAGAGAGCAAACGAGAAAGGAGAAAAGAAAATGGTGGAAACTTTTGGAGAGAGAGAAAAGGGAGAAAACGAAACTTTGATAAAATGAAAAGTAAAAGTTAGTGTATCTGTATTGTACAGTACATATACACATACTATATTATTGGCTAATTACAAAAATACCCCTCAACTACATAAATACAGATACAGATATAATACACAATACTCTCAATACCCCCTTTCAAGTTGGAGGTGAGGAACTCACTGCCAACTTGCCAAGAATAGAAGTATGTTTGATCCCTGTTAAGGCCTTCGTAAATATGTCTGCTAGCTGAGCGTCTGTTAGGGGTGGCAAGTGGGTCGGGCCCGGTCCTAAGTGGGCTTCGCGGGCCCGGTCCTAAGTGGGCCGGTCCTATGCGGTCCGGTCCTAAACGGTCTTGGGCCTCGCGGGTTAATTGCTGGAACAGGTTCGGGACCGGGACCACGAACTAACGGGCCCGGGTTTAGTGGGCCGGTCCCGGTCCGGTTCCGGGCCCAAACGGTTCCAACAGAAACTTTCTATTTTTAATTTTTTTTTTATAGAAGTTAGAGAAAAAAATAGTAATAAAGATATATAAGCTATATTCGATTTACATACTATATACACATCTTAAAATATATATATACATAGTATACATCTTAAAATATACTATATATATATATCTTAAGATATACTATATATATATAGTATAGTATAGTAGATCTTAATATATATATATACATCTTAAGATATATATACATC